TTATTTTTTCTATTTTTGTAGCATTTTTATTTTTATCGTTATAGAGTGCCCAGATTAGGTACTGTTGGATGCACAGTGGGGATGTACGGATGGTAGTAGGTTCCCTGTGCCGTATAGGTAAGTCCTATGACATAGCGTTCCTCTCATGCGTACATTAAAAAGTTTCTTTATTTAGCAATAAGTAAAAACCGATTTATGCTAAGTAAGCCCCAGATTTAGGTTCTGTTGGATGCATAAAGCAACACGGGTGGGGATGTACGGACAGAAGTAGCAATACGCAAGCGTTCCCCTGTGCCAATAGGTAAGTCCAAATATGACATAGCGTTCCTTCCTATGCGTACATTAAAAATAGTTTCAACCGCACTGCTCACTAGACTAAATTTAGTTGCGTGACTGAATCGACGTCCTACAAAAATACCAAATTGTTCAGTTTATTGATGCAAAAAGAGATCTGCCACATCAAATTAAACAAAAAGGTGGCATTACCTTTTGTATGTAAGTAATTCTTAATGACATTAACACTATTTATATCTTTTTAACTAAATAAATTTAAATGCATTAATTACATACAGTCAAGTAATCAAGTAATAACTAATGTAAACAACAATGATGACGTCGAAAGCTCAACTAGCTTGTAGTAAGTGATTAAATAAAATTTTAACCTGGTACAGTATTTAATTTATAAAAATTATCAGTTCATCTCTAAAGTAATATAGTAGTAGTTAGTAGTAGTAGGCAATAACTATGAAAAAATGATAAATTTTGTGTTTTCAGTTATCTGGTTCTAATTTATTCTGGTATTAATCTAGGTAAAACTAAATTATTACCATGTCTAAAGAATCAATATCGATACTCTTAAGAATCGAATATTGTAGGTACCGATTTTTTAGTTAGAATGCTTAATCCAAGAAATGTGAAAGCTGTCAAAAGGTATTTTCTAGATAGAGGTCAAACATAAACTAATGTTTACGCAATTGAATGTCATTCTTGATTATAATTTTTGTTTATTGCGCACCATGACTTTGGTTTCCTTATTTTTTTATGTCTATTTACTCTTCTACCACCACAATGTGATATATCGCAATTGTAATGTGTAATGCGTACTGCAAAATGTATTGTGATAATTCCTTTAATTAAATATTTCAATACAAAATGTTTTATTTTTAAATGACCATATATATAATTTATGACTAACTTTATTACATAAGGGTCTCCCCTTAAGGAATTAGGGAGTTATCGTTAAAATACTTCAATTCGATAGAGTAATACTCAATTCCGTTAGTGGTAGAGGTGAATATGTATTCCCCAGTGAAGAAAACTGCCTCCCCCACCCCGGAATGAGTCAAAGAACATTCTTCTTAATCCCCATGATGAGATCAAAACCCAGAATAATGGTTTACGACCCATTTGCTCTATTCCGATAGTGGTTTAAGCTTTAAGAAATTTTTAAACAACTGCTAATAGATCTTTAGTATTTTAGTTCGTTTGTTGGCTGAGCATCGGTCACAAGGGATTGTTCATCACACTGGTCGCACTTGTTAGACCTGCATAGTTGTAGAACAAATAACAATATCAGGTGTAATCGCTGTGTAGTAACAGCGTAAAATTGTCTACTGCTTTTTAAGTCCTCACGTGGGTGCCGTTAGAAACGACAGTTAACAACACAAAAAAAAACGCGTTTACCAAGGGAGTGGGGAGTTATTCGGCAATCTATTAGGGAGGCCTATATTACCAGTGGACTTTCAAAGGCCATATTGATGATTTTTTTATAGAATAAGGGTGACAAACGAGCACACAGTCCACCTGACGGTAAGTAAATGCTGTAGCCCATAGACATCTACATTTGTCCTCGATTAATAATAAAAACGCAGATGCGTTGTCACCCCTAAGGACTAAGATAAAATGCCTCGTTTCCAATAAAATGGGGTCTCCGGATCTTGACACTCACCATACGAATCACAGCAGTATTAAAAGCTGCTATTTTACGCTGGTATTCTGTGAGAGCGTGGTCCTTCCCCGGTCGAGCCGACCCGTTCGTGCTACAACCTATAATATAACTGCAGCGTGGCTCCACCACGTATAAAACAATACAATGGCTTCTTTTCAATTTCCTAGGCCTCGCTATGGTCAGTCATTAAAAATCTATCAACGGCAAACTACGTATACTTTTTTATAGAATAAGGTAAGGGATACAAAGAACCTCATAGTCCATCTGATGCTAAGTGGATGTTGTGGCCCATTGATATCTATATCTATCATCGATTATGAAGCGAAATGCAAATCGCTGTTACCCCCCTGAGGGTTATATTTGTGCAATAACAGTTTCGTATCACCCTGAGTGAAAGAAGTATTTAACCATTCATATTAAAATCTGTAAATTAGAAAGTAAGTATCTTTACTTTATTTGTAACTTAGTCTATCTTATTCGTTCCAATGCTCGGCGCGGGCCTGCAAATGAGAGCATTTCTGGGAGAATTTTAGGGTGAGGAAATGCCAACCACGCTGCCCCAATGCAGCAATTTCCATTTCCATTCAAGTTCAATTACCATTTATCCAAAAATTAGTGATAAATCTTTTATGACTGGTAGTACAACATTTAATGTAGTGAAAAGTACAAGTACGCATACAATAAGCATGTATGTGCATATTTGTGTGAATTAAACTCCCTTATTTAACAGAAAACTCGTAAGATTTAGTGACAAAGTCGCTAAAGTGGCGACACCGGTGCCTATAGAATAAACAATTAGTATTGAAGAACAGCCAAACCTCAACTTCGTAATAGGTAAAATTGATATAAATATTTTTGTAATTAGTAAGTACTATATAAGGTATATCGAAAAGAGTATAAACATTCGAAGGAAAATTAATATACTCGTAAAAATTAGTAGCTGTCCCGTACTTTTAAAAGTACATTAACAATGTCGAAAACTTCTTTAGATATTTTAAACATGGTCAGATTATAATATGCCGTTAAGGACGCGTTTACATAATTGATAGGTATAGAATCAAACTATTACATTGACACGGGTCACACACAAGTGTACACACGGTTGGCTGCGGAAATCGTAGTAAAATAAAGTTATTTTGATAATTTGAAAGATTGAATTTGTTTTTGATTTCTTATACCTCAAAAATATACTTAGATACATAGACTAATTAGACTTAGATACGACCTACTCCCGAGACTGCTAGGACACACTGGAAGCCCTCTAATGGCAGTGAGATGTTAGTTGTGGACTTTGGGCTGGTTATGTCAGTTATGATAAGAACTTATCTCCAGACTTGATGGAGTGACCTAAAAGTGTAGTTCGGTGACTACTAGGGAACTCCTGGACGAGTCAGTGCCGGTGCCGGGCTTGGGCTCGTTGTATTAGTTGTGATGAGACCTTACCTCCGGTTCTGATGGAGTGACCTAAAGATGTAACTCGGTGATTTCTACTGGAAATCTAAAATATCTAAATCTATCTATTCTACTAGTAGAAGTAGATGTGCCGAGTTTGGGCTCGTTTTGTTAGTTGAACCTTAACCGTTGAATTAAACCTTACGGACTTGATGGTGGACCTGAAAGTGTACTTTGGTAATCACTATTGGAACTCGTCACCGAGTAGAACTAGGTGTGCAGGCTTTGGGCTCGTTTTGTTAGGTATGATTAGTCCTTACTTCTGGACTTGATGGAGTGACCTGAAGGTGTACTATGGTAGCCGCTATTGGAACTAGTCACCGAGTAGAACTAGGTATGCCGAGTTTGGGTTCGTTTTGTTAGTTATGATGAGGCTTTACCTTCGGTCTTGATGGAGTGATCTAAAAGTGTACTTTAGTGACTACTACGGGAACTCCTGGGCGAGTAAGAACTAAGTGTGCCGAGCTTGGGCTCGTTTTGTTACGTATGATGAGTCCTTATCTTCGGACTAGATGGAGTCCAAGTAATACTAATTTGAATAAAAAAAAACCATCAAAACCGGTAGTAGCTAGTTTCGTACGTTTCCCATCCGTATGGTCCAATTTTCGTAATCTATGATTTTTATACAGAAATGGCAGACACGTTGCAGCGGCAGTAAATAGTAAAAAAAATAACAAATAGAATTAACAATATGGAAAAAAACATTCATTAAAAATTCATAAATTCAGGCCAACTAGTGTCTATTTTTCGTTTCAAAATGCAAATGCGTTTTCACCCGTGAGGACTAAAATGGAATGTCTCTTTTCCAGTAAAAAGGGTCTCCGGTTCCCTACACTCACCATACGAAACACAGCAGCATTACGCTACTATTTTACGCTGGTATTCTGTGAGAGCGTAGTCCTTCCCCGGTTGATCCGACCCATTCGTGCTACAACTACTCCACTACTGCGACGTCATGTAGACTTAAGATACTCGTCGTTTAATTCTTCGGTTTCACGACAAAATCTAAGTTTTTCCTATAAAATATATACTCCTAGATCATTCCTGGCATTGGTCCGTTTGTTTGTAAAGTTTGATTACAATCGGTTTAGCTATTCCGAAAATTAGGCCGGACAGACAGACAGACAGGCAAAATTATTGGAAATGGTTACTCATCTTAGTAGTTCCCCTTTGTGACTGTCAAATAACACAGTGAGTTCAATAAAGATCGGTTATTTAGTTTTTTGTTATACTACAGAGAGGCTCTTCAATTTTATTTATATATGTATAGGTAAACCACACAACTGGCGAATCGCCCGCGGGGCATGAAGTTGGTGGGGGCGGGTATCGATACACACGTAATAATTTTTGCAGAGATAAATCCCGGGATAATTTTCGCCGATTGCAAATATAGGATAATGTAAATAAAAGTCAACTTTGCTAGATCAATGATTTTGTAGCATGTTAATTTTATTTTACTGTAACGTATTTTTTTTAATATGTACATGAATATAAATAAGACAATGATTTCAGAAATATCAGAAATATTTATTAAGTTTTAAGCAAAATACTTTGGAAAAACAGTACTTAACCATTTTTTATAATTTTATTTTAATAATTATTATATATTTTCCTCCTCGCTAATATCAATATTCATATCACTTGAATTACCGTCTTCGCTATCTGTGCAACTGGACGAGTTAGAATTATCTTGTAAATTAATTATCATTTCGTCCATAGCGTCGTCGAGTATTTGATCGTGTTGACAGTACTCATCTTCAATTTTCTGGACATGTGTGTCACATGCTACCCATTTTTCTACTGGAAATTCACTAAATAATTTCTCTAGTGCAGTTTTCTTCTTATCTAAATTACTGTCAAGGTCGTTTCTCGAAAGTTGTCCTTTGATATCCCCCCAAACCAGCTCTATGGGGTTCAAGTCTGGGTGATACGGCGGAAGTCTTAATACTTCGTAGCCTGCAGCTTTTAGCACTGATGAAGTGCTTGTAAACATTTTCAGATCCATGTTGTTTGATCAACTTGAACAGGTCACATTTTCTCAAGGAACTGTCAAATTCTACATTATGTCTTTGCAGCCAAGCCTGCATCGAAGCTTTGGTATTTGTCGTCGTTGGTTTTTTGTCTTCCTGGACTGAATGATACGCGGCGTTATCCATAACAATTACAGATCTTGGAGGTAAATTTGGCAATAATTTTTCTTTTGTCCATTTATTGCAATTTACAAAGTTCATATCCGAATGATAATCCCCGGTTTTAGTTTTTGATTTAAAAATTAAAAGAGTTCCGTCAACAAATCCAGCCTGGCCTCCTGCATGTACAATAATTAATCTCGGTCCTTTGCCAATATGAGCCAGCACTCCACGTTCTTCTTTTGATTGCCAGCACGATGGAATATTTAAGGAGGAATTGATGTATGTTTCATCAAGGTAAATAATGGATCTCTTGTCTCTTCAATGTTTTTGTATCGCATTCAGATATTTCCATCGCCAAGAAATAATGATTGGTTGTTCAACAAGCAGCTTTCGCTTCTACTGACATTTTTTAAATTTAAATCCAAGTTTGTGCAATAATAGTCTCAAATATTCTCGACCGCAATTTAAAATTCCTTCTTCTATAAGTTTAGCATTTAATTTTTTAATGTGGGAAGGCTCTTGTAAATAGTGTAAAATTGAGTTACTTTTCGTCTCACTACTCCTTCAGTAAAATTATCTATTTCAATCTTTTGCTTTCGTACCTGTTTTATTTTTTTGGGGGATTTAAAAACCACGCTATCTTGTTCGCGTTTTAAATCATTTCCTTCTTTGACAATTTTACTTACAGATGTTAAAGATATTCCTGTTGCTTGCGCGACCAATTTATTCAAGTTTACGTCTTGTTGATATTCCGTAGACGATTGATCTTGTTTTCTTAGTTTAAAGAAAGAATGTACATTGTACACCAATTGTTTCGCTTGCTTGTTAATTTGCCTGGCAAAAATCTTAGAGCATCCATCTTCAGCATTCATCTTGGGTTATAATCTCGTGTGCGTTTTGTTGCGAGCGTCCGTAACCAATTAACCCACTGCCCTCTGCGAAACCCACGCGCGACAGTGTTGCCAGATGCCTTGAACGTTTTATCTGTATTAGAAACTGCTAAAATCTGTATTAAATCTGTATGCCATTTTAATTTAAAATCTGTATAAAATCTATATAATCAAATAAACTAAAATAGAATTATTGGTTATCATCATCATTACTTCTTTTAAAAAACAAGGGATAAGTACTAACGTTATAAGGTTTAATTATCCTTATGAAATGAAAGTATACACAATTTTTTTATATAACAAAATTGAAAACATTAATTTAATCAAACAATATATTCAAACTCAAGCATTTGCAACAAACGAACTAATAATAACTTTATTATTTTCAGTCATACATATTTTTGTTAAATTTCAACAGTAATTTATTATCAACCACTAGGCTATAGCAAGGTTTTGCACCAAACAGTTGCTTTTTATGTAAAAGATCTTCAATATTCTCTGTATTAAGTGTATTGCGTTGTTTTGTTTTTATTAAATTTATAGATGAGAAGATCTTCTCTACGGCAGCACTGAAATGAGGTAGACTTAAGATTGCAGAAACAAATTTTGACATCGTAAGATATAATTGATTGCTGTAGTTAGCAGGAATACTGGCTGCAGCGACTTTACACCAGTAGGTTTCGAGATCTTCTGATTCATCAGGCGTTAAATCTTTATTATTATGCAAAAACCGCCACTCTGTGTCTAGTTCTTGCAGTTCATCAACTGGGATCAAATTTGGAAACTTTACTGCCAAAGTGACCAATGAATCAATTCTACGAGACTTGACAGCTTGTGGGTCAAGAAACTGCATTTGTTTAAACACATCATTGCTGAAATCGTACCTTTTTTCTACCTGATACCCTTCAATAAAAAAGTCAAGTCATTTAAGTTTGAATGCTTCAATATCTTCTTGGTGAAGAGCGTTTGAACTCGTAGAGACAACGGAGGCTGCAACCTTTGCTGCTAGGTAACGGCCATCTATTGATTTGTAATGACGTGGATTGTCAATTTGAATTAAACTGACTTCATTTTGCGAAACGTATGCGTCGTCCATGTAACATTCCAGTAAAGTTTTAAAAACATTCATCGTGTTTTCTTGCATTTTATGAATTTATGGCCGCTCTGACTGCATCAGCTTATTCATTTATTAAATATCTCTAAAGAAAACTCCAGAAACTCTTAATTTAGCTTATTATATAGATTTTTTATTTTGAACAATATCGAATCAGCATTCAAGTGGTCCGTAAGAGCGGTTACAGTGATATAATTTTAGTGCGCCATAATGTTCTAGAATACGGCAAACTGCTTCTCTCAGCGAAAGCCATCGAGTTTGAGTTAGATGGAGGATTTTATGAGGCTTTAGATCTAAGAACTGCTAAAACTCTTAGAATTCCAGTTCCTTTGAGGCTGTTATGAAAATAATTATAAATGTCTCGTATGAGAGTTTTGGGCACCCTAGACAATTTTAAACAGGCATACGATGCACAGATATGGAAAGAGTGGATAGATACACAGTTCAATACTAACAAGTGAGGGTTATCGGCAACTAGACGGGATGATAATGAATTGTGCTGTCCCATCATGGCATTTGCACCATCAGCGGCAAATCCGATAAGATTTTCCGTTGGGATGTTATTGTTACTCAAAACTTTTTAATATGTTGGTATAGCTTTTCAGCAGTAGCTTCTTCAAGGGGTATGAGGCAAAGATATGCATCCTCAACTTTTCTTTCGAAAAAACGTGCTTATATGCATAAATGCTTAACACATTATCTATCTGTGCTTTCATCGACGATTAAAGAAAATTTAAGTTTTCGTAACTCTTCTATTGTCATTTATTTTGCAGTTATGCCAGTCACATTTTTTACAATAGCTGTAGTTTTTGTTCTGTCACAACTAATACATTTTGCGATTTGTGAACCGGGACACATGTCCCCTCTTTTGATTGTTTCAATATTCTTGTTTGAAAATAAATCTGTCAGTAATGTTTGCGAGCTAGATCCACCAGGACTTGAATTTACGTGTTTGTTTGTTTTCGTGTGTCTGAAAAGATCATTCTTCCCAGCACTTCCAATTTAAAGATCTGTGTTACAAAATGTACAAAAGGCAAAGTATACGAAGAATCTTCCATCCAATTCCGATTAAACTTTTGCATCACTCTGGGTTTTTTACCACAATCAATATTAATATTTAATAAAATTTTATATCTATGTTTTTAAATATTTACGCATTACCCACGCATACACAACACGACGAATGCGAAAGCGAAGTACCTTGGACAGCGCGTAAATATCTTTTGGGGATTTCCCGAGCAGAGCGAGTGACACTTGTAATGCTGCCATACTAACTAATTACGTTGTGAAAAAATAAATTAACCATAAAGAATAGAATCATGCAATGATATGTCTCTTATTAGTTTGTGGATATGTGTAACGCGGTATCTAATCATATACCTTTCTTCATTTTGTTTTAAGTTGAATATTATGGTAGTTTAATCAATAGCATTAGAAAATTCTGTATAAAAATCTGTATCAAGTGCTAATCTGTATTACACACCGAAAATCTGTATAAATACGGAGAAATTTGTATATATGGCAACACTGCGCGCGTACTGGAAAATGTCACTCGAGCTCCCAGCCGCGCGCCCCCTGACTTCACCCCGAAACTCCCTCTAATATCCCTCCGCGCCCACCAACTTCTTGCCCCACGGGCGATCCGCCAGGTGTGTGGTTTACTTATAGTTACAGATAAATAAACTCTAAAGCATTGATGTAGGTTTTATACGTGGTAGAGCCACGCTGCAGCTGTTATGGTTGTAGCACGAATGGGTCGGCTCGGCCGGGGAAGACCACGCTCTCACAGAATACCAGAGTAAAATAGCAGCTTAATACTGATGTGTTTCGTATGGTGAGTGTAGAGGTCTGGAGACCCTTTTTAACTTGAAATGATTTCCTCACGAGTGACAATGCATCTGCATTTTTAATTCTTAATCGAGAATAGATGTAGATGTCTATGGGCCACAGTAACCACTTACCATCAGTTGGACTGTGTGCACGTTCGTCACCCGTATCCTATAAAAATAAATTTATATATGTAGTTACAGAAAAATTAATTCTAAAGCACTGATGTAGGTATCTCTTAAAATCAATGTATTCACATCACATTTTAATTTGTTCACAAAATAATTCAGAGTTAACATGTCATATATTCTTAAACCGTGGGACAATGACCCTAATGTTTTTGGAATACGTTATTTGTACCAGGAACATATTATGATAAAAATGTTATTCGAAGCTTCGTCACCGATAAGCTTACAAAAAATAATGAAGCGCAGTGCAAGTACAATATATCAACTACATTGTGTATGTATGTATACGTACAATATACATTTTTGCAAGAAAAGTTCAGAGGCTAGACGCTCACCTTAAATTTCCCATACCCACAGCACCAAATTAATTTCCCCAACCGCAGGGAAAATTTTATCTCGCATTTAGAAGTGAATGAAAATATCTTAAGGAAACTTGCATGTCCAAAAAATTTAATATATATCAAGGTTGGCTGATTTCACAGATGAACGCGGATCGTTATTAGAGCTAGCTGACTTATACTGAAAATCCCTCTTGGACCTGAGAGGTATTTTATCGTTACTCCATTATATCTTCTAAACGTCTAAATATTGATTTCGACTTATAGCATTACAACATAGCATAGAAAAATATTATGATAATGATGCAAATAGATTTAGAAAAATCGTTAGAGTTATATACCTACATACGTAGAAAAATCAACGAATGAGTTGATTCTATAAAACGTTTTCTTGTTTTTTGTGAACATAAGGTAACGAAACTAATTGTCTACAGTGATCAGAGCTCAATTTTTGAATTATACGTTTAGAGAACGGCTTTAAATTTGTAAAAATGTTATCTGTTATATGAACTAGAATCTGCAATACGCGTTGGCTCCAAAAATGAATTAATAGGACCATATGATTTAAGAAATGATCTAAATTTAATATTGGTGGAGAAAGCTTCTAGGAGATTGATATTAAAGTCATACTACAAGAGATTTATTCTGTTTATTGAGCTTAACAAAAACTTCCTTCATAATTTTTTTCGTATATAGAACATGGGGGTCTGTAAACGCTCAGAACAATGAGGTGCTCAAACTCAACACATGCCATTTGAATGTAAGAAGTTGTCTTTAATAAATTGTTACGAACCAACTTTTTAAAAGCATACTTATTTGGATGCTTTTTTGATATATTATTATGGTATTGATGCTTGTTTATTCTTCTGTGGTGTATAATCTTATAATAAATAATCGCATCAGGAATACAAGGCGCCTTCCTCCACGGCGCACTTAATACCACCTGCTACTTTCAACACCCCTCACCCCACCCACTCCTCCATTCCGAGTCGATACGCAGAGGGTATGTGGTCAGAGAAAACGAGCGCTCGGAAGCACCCACTTTTCGGATCCCAGCGGCGGATCTGGTATCTGGCTTTCGAGGTTTAGGCTTGGCAGGTACAGCGGTGCCTCGCAATACCATCACTCCCCCACGGCCCTGTCATCACCGCGTCAGCGGTGTGGCTCCCTCAGAGTCGCGACGGATAGGACGAGTGGCGCATCATCATACCAACAGTCCTTTTCCCCCCGCGACTCCACTTCAGCTGCAGCGGTAGGTTAGACATCACTCCTGCCGCAGCCCATCAATATACATCCTTCCAGCCAGGCCAGCCGAGTGGCTTTTTTATCGCGGGTGACCAAGCCACGAGTACTAAGATCCCGCCACGACAATACGGCAACCCGTTAGGGGGAGGGGGAACTATTGTAAGACCTAGGGTGCTTCGCGTATAATATTCAGCGTATGACACGTGTATTTTTTTTAGATCCGTGTTGCATTTTAAATACCGATTTAACACGCACATATTCAAACCACTGTCAAAATCTACTTTATTTACGGTATTTCGAAAAATACCGCAAAAATCGAATGCAAATTTTATATCTAGTATTTTTATTTCTTACCTATTCAATTTTAGAATTTTGTATCTCAAAAGGAAATGGAATCCATATAGGATTTCATTGTAGTCCGTCCGTTCTTAACCTCGTCTGTCGACACTTTCTCTCAGCAACGTTTAGGTTATTAAGTTAAAATTAATATCAAATACTAAGTTTACGGTCCCTAGGAGTTGTAAAAATTCAAGTTTCTAAGTCAACAGAATAAAAACTACGATCATTTATGTCACGCATTTTGATACTTACAAACTCATCTAAACCTATAGGCTATTTTTTTCATTGCTTTTGAATCAGAAAATTAGGCAAGAAACAAGATCTTAAAACACAGGTGAGCGAAAAAAAACCGATATTATATTTATCAACAGATGTTTACTAAGTATTTATTATATACTCATATCCAATAATATATTTTGCGGTTACAAAATTATTGCTGTTGAAGCATCGATGTATGGAAAAAATCTCCACTCCACGTTTTGTTTAGGGCAATGTTTGGCGCTTACCTTACATATAATTTCCGCGATGGATGAACTATCTGCATACATAAATACCATTAAGTTTATACGGAACCCTTAAGGAGCGAATGTTTCTATCGCTTTAACTTCTACTGTAAGTTTACTAAAATAGATGTTGTGAAGACATAGACGGCTCCGTGGCGTAATAGCTTAGCAATGAGTTGCAGCACATAGAACAAGTATTTGTATGGTCTACAAACAGTTGTTCTGGGTCTGGATGTTTGTCCTTTTGCCTCTTATGTATGTTAACTGTCTCAAGTAAATTATCTACTTGAGAAACAAAATTTCTATTTCCTAAATAACATCTATCGATAAATAAGCTTATTAAAGTAATTTAAATGAATGTACTCCTATTTTGCTAACGGCTTTCGATCGTTCACATATACAAGTGCTCTGTTTACTATCAAATATGTGATTTCTGTTAAATCAGTCTTCAATATTTATATCACGAAAATATCCAACATTATCTTTCATTATATTGTTAGAATTCGCCGATTTTCTAGTTTTATCGTTGAAATCTCAAAGCTTAAATATGCAGAATGACAAATATTGCACTCCATTACAGAACAGTACAAATCTACAACCAAACGATAAAAAGAAGTACCTAAAATCTTAGATGAGCGACGTGACATTACCAATGGATAGCAAGGCAAATCCCTTCTATGGGAGAAATCAATGTCTGTTTGTTTGAATAATAATATCTAATAGGTCACCCTTAACAAGCGTATTAGTACGATATATTAGTTCGTTGTAAATGGGAATACAAAGAACGCACTCAAATCTAGAGGTCGTAGTTTAAAACGCTGTTACAGATATGGCATGATATGGCGGACGTTCACACTTTAGGAGGAAATGCGGTATCAATATACAGTCGTGGTCCGCACATCCGAGCGACAATGCGTGTCACCACCGGGACCCTCTTGCTGCTCACCGTCACTTGCCTCCTCTGTAAGTTTACTTGCGCAATACTTCGCACAGCATTAATAGTAACAAAATATTCATAGCGAATTGTCGGAATGCGTTGGCTTTTTAGTGCCATTTGTGCAAGATTGTATTTTGTATAATATCTTTAACTTACTTTTTAATAATAGCTTTCCCTGTATTTAGGGTTTTCTTTGGACTGTAACTTATAAACATCATATTCAAAACATGTTTCATTGAACTAAAAAGTCTTGCATTAAGTAATTTGATTAAAAAAAATACGATCTACATACACAATGCTGGCGTGAGCACGTTCTACCTATATGTTGTAAGTAACAAACGAGCGAATAGTTAACAGTTCACCTGACTTCGTGAATACTAGGGCCTGTTTGTTTGGATTAACAATATAATTTTTTTATTTTTTTATTTCCATAATAATCCATCACCATCATCATCTGTTTAATACGTAATACTGACTAAGTTTTTCGTCTTTGTAATCAGTTCGTATAATTCCCCTACTAGAAACGAGCCTCTTCCATCGTACGCTTGAATTGCTAACGCCACGTTTGGCAGATCGCAGCACCAGACGCCTGGAACCTTAGTCACTGCTTGTTGTAGTACCGCCTCGAACCTTAGTCTCTGCTTCCCGTCTTCGGTCTGCATCATTTATTACGTTTATCGTATACAAGATAGATAAACCGTTACTTATGTGAAGTTTTTTGGCATGTAGCATAGACTATCAATTGGTCTATAGTCGACTCTTACGACAACGGCACCACGGGATGAAATTACGTGATTCTCTTACACCGTCTCCACGCGCCAAGTTCTTACCTTCAAGAACGTCTTTACAACGTACCTATCCTTTTTACACGGCTTCAAAAAAGGTTGTGGTTATTAATTTGACTTTTTTTAATAAAATATTTTTTTATGATTCTATCACTGATTATTTACCGATATATACTTCCACAGTGGTCCCGTATAAAAATCCTGTTCCTTATCAATAACGCTTTATGTTGCTATACTCATGTGTATTTTATTAACCCAATTATTATTGTACAACACACTTCATGAGTATTTATGCAATATATCTTGTAAAACATAATGTCAAATGATTGCTATAATTACATAATAATAAGAAAAAGTTTATTAATTACGAGTGGTTACTAAGTGGTACTGTAATTGCTTAAGGCCCACTGCAGTCTCGGTAAACAGTTCACTACAGCGATAGTATATAGCCTTGGCATATATAATGATTAGTTCTGTTTATTGAAGCGAACTATCTATTAGTGTTTAATGTAATACCAGTACATTGCGAAACAAGGGACATTAGTAGACGATTATTGAACCGTGTAAAGTTAACACACGAGCAAAACGAGTGCACTAACTTTACAAGTTTTAATAATCGGTTACTTAAGTTCCGTATATCGTACATTATTTTATAGTAAAAAGTTAAAGTAAAGTTACAGCCTATATACGTCCCACTGCTGGGCTCAGGCCTCCCCTCATTTCTAAGAGGGTTTAGGGCAAGGAAGTGTCCGCCGCGCTGCCCAAATGCGTGTTGACGAACTTCACATGTCTTCGAAATATTTTTTTTCTTATTCCTCAGACATGCAGGTTTCCTCGCGATGTTTTTCTTCACCGCCGAGCACGTGGTAAATCAGCACTTAAAATTGCAATTAACAATTTCATTGGTGCCGGCGGGGATCGAACCCGGGTTACTCGCGTTCTGTTATATTTACAGCGAGCGTTAACCACTGAGCTACCACGGCAGTGCTATTTTATAGTACTGGTGACTTAAATCTACTTTTTTAATTGAAAAGTTGTAGAATGCCTACTAAATTAATATATAAGATTTTTGTATATATACATGTTGTAATATACAGCTTGTACATTTATTTATTCTTTTTTGTACACCACAGTACAGAAGCATCAAGTACAGTTAAAACTAAGTTAAAGTATGCACAATAGGCGGTCTTATCACTCTGAAAGTGATTTCCTCCAGACAATCTTTGCGTAGAGGAATGATGCAAACAAAAGTTAAAATAGAGGGGGGCATACAAAATAATAATAAAAAATATGATAATACATACAAATAAAGATAAGTGAAAATTATATATAAAATATCATATAATAGATTAAATGAAAAGAGTACGAGAAAGGTAAAGTAATTTATCTAATACTATTGAAAGTGTGTAGAGATTTAGCACGACGAATATGGAGAGGTAAGGAGTTTCCACAATCGCACAGATGCAGTCGATGTACGGTGAAGGCTTTTTTGAAAAAGGAAGAAGAGTGCAAAGGTGCAGAGAGAGAAAGATTGACGGAGGATTGAAGGAACCGATTATGGGTAACAGAAAGATACCGGAAACGGGTTTTAAATAAAGAGGAGTGGAAGGATTAAACAGCACGCTATACAACGCGGAGAGAATGTGAGTATTCCTGCGAAAGCGGATCGGGAGCCATTTGAGCTGTTTGCGAAATTCGGAGATATGATCGTATTTGCGAAGCCCAAATATAAATCTAATGCATACATTTTGAATGCGCTCAAGCATATTAAGCTGCTCCTCGGTAATGTCAAGAAAGCAAATATCAGCATAGTCAAACAAAAACAACTAAGTACTATGTACAAACTAATTTTTCGCCATGATGGAGTAGGGAGTAACGACCAGGTAAGAAACGCAAGAAGTCTATGGCTGTAGATGGCTCCGGACCCTGCTTTGTGGCATTTCTTGAGAGAGGGCTATGTTCAGCTGTGGACTTGCGAAGGGCTGTTGTGATTATGTGGAAGAACAAGCTAAACGTGGTCACTACAGGTGTGGGCTTACAAACCACTCGATCGATCTGTTAAATTCTGTTCATTCTATGAGTGTTATTTAAGTAATTTTAGATACATGTAATGAATGCATGAATATGATGCAGGTGCAGCGGTCTTTGTGATAGCGAAATATTTTATATTAATATGCCTTTAATGATGATGAATTAGAATTCAAAGTCGCAACTAGATCATAACCGTAAAATGTCATGCACTTCTCTAGGCTAAAATATGTCAACATCTCTTTAGAATATACCTAATGGAATAAAAAGTGCAATTTCGTTGTGTGAGTGTATTGGTGCTAAAATCAATGAAATGAAGAAACATAGTGTTATCACACACTTTTGTTGTTGGTTCCAAAGTGAAAGATTGATTCGAACTGATTCTCTTAAACCATCAGGATCGTACAGGTTTCTCGCATTGCAACTATTGATTAAAAGCGTATTGAACCGGGTACTTTGTTTGAAATAATCAAGAACATGTCCTCAATAGGCATTAACGCCTCGTTGTAAATTTTTTCACTGACTTGTAGATTTGGATTCCCTGTTCTAATGCGCATTTGATGCAAGATGTCGTCACACATATCAACTTTGTATTTAATCCATAAATAAATTGGTTTTAATGGCAAACATGTTGGATGCTTGAAAACGATGTTCGCATTGGATGAGCTTGTAAATAAATTACAGCATCATTGAGTATTTGATCCCTACGAGTGATTTTAGGCCTCGAACAACTAATAGCAATTGCAAATAAAAACACTCAGCGTTGCTTGAGTTAACTGAATAAATTCGACCTATATTGCATTGGCTGAATATACATTTGGGTAACCTGGAACTCGTTTTCCCTGTTTCCGTCGTTGAAATTTGTCGGAGGATTAACTCCTCGTATCTTTATATTATGGTTTAGTACTATTTTGTTTTAATGGGATAGCACAAAACAGTAAGTAAAGGAATCGAAAGTCAATTTTAGGGTGTCTGAATATATTGCTCGACCTTTACTTTCGATTAATCAATCTCAGATCGCCATTCCTTAGGATTGACAGCTAAGAACAGTTTAAAAAGAAAAAGAAAAAGGAAAAATTTGGTTTTTAATTTTTTCTTTTTTATATAGAAGGTGGGGCAAACGAGCATGCGGCTCGCCATCAGGTGACCGCCGCCCATGAACAACCGCAACACCAGTGAAATTGCAAGTGCGTTGCCGGCCTTTTAGAAAGGAGTAAGCTCTTTTTTTGAAGGTCCCTAAGTCGTATCCGTCCGGGAAAGTCACCGGTGGTAAATAATTCCACAGAGAAGTTGTACGAGGAAGCAAACTTCTAGTAAAACGTACAGTGGTGGACCGCCAAGCATCCAGATGTTGAGGATGGTATCGGAAATTTTGACGCTATGTGCATTCATGAAATTTGGCGACTGGAACTAATCCGAACAATTCCTCAGAATACTCCCCATGGTAGATACGATAGAAAATGCAAAGGAATGCAACTCCCTACGAAGCGCCAGTTAATTGAGCCGTACAGAAATAACTTGGTCGTCGACGATTCGAATCGCTTTGCGCTGGATGCAGTCAAGTGGAATGAACTGGCACTGGGGTGCCCCGGCCCAGAGATGAAAACAGCATTCTATGTGATGCCGAACTTTCGCTTTGTAAAGTTGCAAGCGATGTGCCGGCATGAAATACTGTCTCGCTCTGCTGAGCACGCCAAGCTTTTTAGCTTTTTTTCCGTGCAATGTTTCCATTTTTTCTCTTGTTTAGTATATTCCTCGGAGTTCAACGAATGTTTGAATGAAAATTTAGCCGAATTGGTCCAGTCATTTTCGAGTTTTACGCTTAGCAACACATTTAGCCATTCGTTTTTATTTATGCAGAGTTATAGTCAAAGGCTAGCCAAATTTAATAATTAAGTTCAAAATACCAATACTAATACACACTTTTTTCAGGTTTTTTTAAATCCGAAATTAAATGTAATTTATGGGAAACAACTACAGCATATGCGCGCCCGTGTGTGTACGTGTCAATGTACATAACTTTTGCCTACTATTTACTTCCTTAATGACGCTCGCTAGTAAGTTGTAAACTACTCGACGCGAATCATGGTTCCGAATTTCCCTTCATACTTTAAACGGGCTTGGGACCTTCTTAGGAAGTTACCAATGACTGTTTTTAACATGTTGAATTAAAAAAATTTGGAATTATGTAAAAAAAGTAAAGTTACATCCTA